AAAGTGAATGGCCCATGCAAGGATCAAGAACACAACCTTGGCATTATTAGCACTGTGCTCTAACCTACTGTGTTACTCTCAAAATGTTGCCTTACAAGTGATACACAGGTTTTGGGTCACAATGTCTGTGAATACTGGTATAAACAGAATAGTGGCCTTCTCTGAGAAGAGGCTTACAAATACTTAAACCAAGACAAGGAAGTAAGATGAAGGAAAGGGACTTAAGTCATTTTAATAGAGAATGCATTTCATAAGTTTAAGGTTAAAGACCAATATAATTGTTTGCAGAAAGATTAAGCTAAAGGTCATCTCATTTCTTTACCTAAATACCGAAAGCAGTTTCTTTTCTTTTTCCAAGAATTGCATTCTTTAAAAAATATGCTCAGCTCACTCAGACAAAATATTGTATAGCCCATTGCTTGTTTGTCTGTTTCCTCAGGAGTCATCCAGGAGCTTTGCTCTACACAAAGGAAGTGTTTTGGAAAACTAAATTAAGCATTTGAATTTCAGCTATTGCAGATGAACCCAGAGATGTGGGGATGACTTGGCCTACTGTATTGTGAAAACTCTCAAATCTGCAGTGAGTGCAATGTGGGATGAGTGGGCCAAGGAGCCAAAGCTGTTAAACACAAACAAACAAAAAACCCTGGCACCTTTAATGCTTTTATGCTTTTTGTTATTTGTCATTTTTAATGCCTGGCCCCTCTTATCTGCCTTACTTTCCAGAAAATAGAGTTGTCCTAATCTCTTGGATCAAGCTCCCTTTGTAGGGAATTCTGCTCCCTCTGGTCCCAGCAATTTAATATGTTCATTGTCTTTCTTGAGACCTTCACATCTCTTTCAGAGATGCTGGGGATGGAGGGGTGGGTACCTCTGCTGTCCCTTTCCCCAGGGCTGCCAGCTGCTCAGTGGTGACACAAGCCAGCACGCTGGGACTAAATGTCTAGGAAAGCCCAAGGAATACTGAGCCTATGCCCGCTAAGGCAAACGTTACACATCAAGTTTCTTGAAGCAGCCACTCCCCTCTGTTGCTTAAACATACAGAGTGATATGTTGTAATCTAAATACATACCCTTAGGCCTCTAAGCAAACACAGACACGATTACTTCAATGTAGTTGAAATTGGTGATGGGATGGCCTGTTTCCATTTAAAATATTTCGGATTTTTTCATAGCAATTCTTTCTGTGGAAACAAGCTACTTGTGCTTCCAATGCATGTAAGTTTGTTCCCAGGCTCCCTAACCCTTTTTTTTCAATGGCTGTTTCTTTTCCCCATCCCAAAGCTGAGAGGTTCTGGCCCTGGATTTCAGTGTTCATCACCTCAATTGGTCTCCTGTTTTCTGGAAATGGAGCGAAGATGTCCCACTGCTCACTCACTCTTGCTCCTTTTCTGAGTCCCAAAGGCAGCACACCTCATCTGCAAAACAGCAAATTCTAGACATCTATGAAGTTTCACATTTTTAGACACAGGCAAACACATGTACAACTTGTGTAAACATAGAGCAAGATGACTGCAACTAAGCTCTTACTGTGGCTAGGAAAATGGATATCCAAGACATATTTTGTTCCTCCAAATTTGCTCAGGATGCTCTGTTTTGTTCTGGGAGTAGAAGAGTGGCACGGCTGGGTTTTTTGCTATTCTTACCCCCTGCTCAA